CGATTTCACTGTCAGTATTAGATTCAGTCCCTGCGGGATGGGCGGGGCGGAGCTGACCGCGGGGCGGGGTCAGGGTCTCACACCCTCCAGAACATGTATGGCTGCGACCTGGGGCCCGATGGGCGCCTCCTCCGCGGGTACAGACAATACGCCTACGATGGCGTCGACTACCTCGCCCTGAACGAGGACCTGACCTCCTGGACCGCGGCCGACATGGCGGCTCAGATCACCAAGCGCAAGTGGGAGGCGGCCGGTCACGCTGAGCATCACAGGAACTACCTGGAGGGCCTGTGTGTGGAGTCGCTGCTCATTTATCTGGAAAAAGGGAAGGAGACCCTGCAGCGCGCAGGTACCAGGGGTCCTTGGGGCCGCCCCCTCTCCCCGGGGCTGGGGCTCCTACAAGGAGACAGGACAGGGGGTCAGTGTCAGACACCCCTCCTTGGGGTCAGGGAGGGAGACCCCTGGGTGTCAGGTCAGGTACCAGAGGGACCCTCCTCCTCTCAGGGACAGTTAGGGGTGCAGGCCCTCCTGGGGTGCAGGGAGACACCCCAGAAATAGCCCATCAGCGGTTCCCATGGGCCCTGCAGGGGCTCTGGGACCCACGGGGCCCTTCTCTCTCAGGCCTTGTGCGCTGCCCATACCCACTGTTTCTGAGGCCTCACCCCAGCTTTTCTGAGTCCCGTGGCCTCCACCCAGGTCAGGACCAAAAATTCCTTTTCTCCCCTCAGAGACCTGCCTCCTGCCCTGGGCTGTGTCACTCCGAGTCTAGAACTTTCTAAAGATTAGGAGGCCCTTCCAGGTGCCTCTGTACAGGCTGGTGTGTGGGCTGTGTGCTCCCTCCCCTACCCCAGGTGTCTGTCCACTCTCAGGATGGTCACATGAGCGCTGCTGGAGTGTCCCATGGTGGATGCAAAGTTCCTGCATTTTCTCCCCTCCCCTCAGACCCTCCAAAGGCTCACGTGACCCACCACCCCGTCTCTGCCCATGAGGTCACCCTGAGGTGCTGGGCGCTGGGCTTCTACCCTGCAGACATCAGCCTGACCTGGCAGCGTGACGGGGAGGACCAGACCCAGGACATGGAGCTGGTGGAGACCAGGCCTGCGGGGGACGGGACCTTCCAGAAGTGGGCGGCCGTGGGGGTGCCCCCTGGAGAGGAGCAGAGATACACATGCTATGTGCAGCACGAGGGGCTGCCCGAGCCCCTGACCCTGAGATGGGGTGAGGAGGGGCCGTGGGCACAGAGCCTCTTCTCAGGGCAGCAGGGGCCCTGGAGGACCTCAGTGGGGTGGGGGCTGAGGCCTGGGGTCAGGGCCCTCACCCTCCCTTCCCTTCTCCCCCCAGATCCACCTTCTCAGACCTTCATCATCATCATCATCATGGACATCGCCGGGGTCCTAGTTTTGCTAGTCATTGTGTTTGCAACTCTGATATGGGGGAGGAGGCGCTCAGGTGGGCAGGAGTGGGGTCTGAGTGTCCGTCCCACTGGGGGTTCAAGCCCAGGTAGACGTGTGTCCCGCCTCATTCACGGGAAGCACCATCCCCACGCGTGAGATGGCCAGTGTGGGGCTCTGTGCTCACACTTACTCTGTAGTGAGGCCCGTGGGAATATGAGGGACCTGTTTATCACCTGATGGTGCTGGTGGTGGGGACCCTGTTCCCAGCAGTCCCAGGTCAGAGGGCAGGTCCCTGCTGAGCACAGACCTCCAGGAGGGCGGTGGGTCCAGTCCCCACACACGCACGTCACTCAGGTTTCCTGATCCTGCCCTGGGTCTATACACAGGATTCTGGAAACTTCTCTTGGGCCACAGGACCAGGGCTTCCTTTTGGACCTCATGGCCCTGCCTGCTCCTTGGTCTCTCACGGGATGTTTTCTTCCTGCAGGTGGAAAAGGAAGGAGCTACGCTCAGGCTGCCAGTGAGTATGGAGGGGTGACCCCTGAGTCCCTGGGACAGTGCAGATGGGAGCCATAGGGGACCAACCCCCATAGTTCCTCCTTAGTCTCCTGCCCTGGGGCTCTGACCCCGTCCTGGTGTTCCTCTCCACCACCCCCCCAGGCAGTGACAGCGCCCAGGGCTCTGATGTGTCTCTCTCGGCTTCTAAAGGGGAGATCCTGCCGTGGGGAGGGGAGGGCAGAGTGGAGGACTGGGTGGTGGGGAGTCTGTGGGACACTGTGAGCACGAAGTGGACTCTGCAAATGTCACCAGTTACAGCCACTGACCTGAATGTGTTCATGATGATTGTTCACAGCGTGAGGCAGTTGCCTTGTGGGGACTGAGTGATGGAAGATGTGTTCACGCTCCCACTTCCTGACCAAGAACCTCTGATTGGGGGGCTGGACCAGCCCTGCTCCCCACAGTTTCCTGTCAGCAGAGGCAGGCTGGGCCCTCCCCATCCCTGTCTTTACTCCCCAGTGCTCTGAGCAGCAACTTCCTGCTTCGTATTCAAATGAGACTCTTGCTGTGACCTTGTTTGTTTACTTGTTGCCTTCAAGGGTTGTGTGTTAATTAAAGGGGAAGATCCTAAATTCTGTGAGGAAATAAATTGAAGCATCAAGAGATTTCCAGAACCTTGTGTATCTGTGGTTGTCCCTGGTGGGATGGGAGGAGCTGTTAGGAGGGAGCATGGTTGGGGCCTGTGCCTGGTCAGTGCTCAGTGCATCGTGGGCTTTGACGTGGTCACTCCTTTTCTTGGTCACCTCTCTGCTCCTCTGACCTTGTTTCTCAGTGGAACCCTGTCCCACCAGGACCTGTGGTCACAGGGACGCACATCCCCCAGGCCTTGTCCCCTGTCCTAATGCAGCGCACCTCCAGGACCCTGGACAGCGAGGCCTTCCTGGGTCAGGTCAGCCTGGGCTCAGGCTTGGGTCCTGGCCTCAGCCCTCATCTTCTGGGTGTTTGTTGTTTCTTTGCTTTGGTGGATATGATGCCTGTTTCTGTGTTTGTGTAGGAGTTTTGGTCTCATTCTCTGGGTGTCCCCATCTGACAGTATCAGGGCTCATTTTTGCTGTCATTGTCCCGCTGGCCCAGGGGTCCCTGCACACAGGACTCTGGTTGGAGAGAGACATTTCAGGCTCCTCCTGCTCTGTCCTACTTGTAGGGCCTGAAGGTTTCAACCCTCTGATCAGCTTGGTCTTTCTGGGGACCAGCCCCCACCCCGAAGCCTCCAGGACCCTCAGCCAAGAGCCATCTCATCAGCGTCCCAAAGACACTTGTCACTCAGGAAATGCCCAGGGTTTTAGCTCAGTGCCAAGAGCCAGGGGCAAAGACCAGGCACTTTCATCCCAGAGGTCTCTGCCCACAGATCCATTAACAGCAAAAGTGCCCCATTAGTTAAGGATGCTGGCACCTTACTAGCGTCCACTCACTCATAAACAAGAGTCCAGTCCATCGTCCTTTGAGGATGGTTACATGGCCCACACATTTATGAAAATTGCCCAACAGTTGTAGTCAGAGGAGAAATTGAATTCAGCCCTAATGTGATATTGCCGCACACCTCCCAGCACTGAGAATGACAAAGTCAGACAAAACTAATTGTTCACAAGAATGTGGACTCGTTCTGTCTCATATATTCCTGATGTGAAAGTAAGTTGTTTCAAACCTGGTGGGAAATGCATCGGCCCTACTTTCTGCACCTAGAGACTGAGAGCAGGATGAGGTGTCAGGGGGAGTCAGAGGCTGAGCGTCACTGACGCAATGACAGGAGATCACACATGGGACGAGGGACAGAGTGAAAGGCTCAGAAGGACAGATGGACTGAACGGAGAGATGCCTGTTGGCAAAAGTGTGGAGAAAAGACAACCCCTACCAATGTGTTGGGAATGTGCTTGTTCTCCAGAAAGAGATTTTCAGTCCTTACCTTCCTCAAACCACCCAATTTAAGTGATGGCTCCCTTTCACGGGTTGGGCACTCCTACCGTGTCCCCCAATGCTTCCCAATGTGGTGCCACACATGGGCTGTCACAGCCGGGAAAGTTAGTCAAGATGCCAGCCGTCCCACTCCCTCCTCTGAAAGAAATTATGAAGGGAGAGGATTTAATGAGGTCACACAGATCTCACAGATCTTGGAATTGAGGGGAAGTCACTCTGCCCGTGGGACACCTGTGCATTGGTGAGCAGAGATGGGTGAGATAAGGGCAGCAATTCCATTGGAAGGTAAGGAAACCGGGGTGAAGCAGTCGATGTAGAAACACAAAGGTGGGAATGGAACCTGAGAGTTGCTGCTAAAGGTACGCCACGGCCCCTTGGGAGAAGGGAACGTTTTCCCGATGCATTGTGACCTTTTATTGCTTCGCGGATGTGTTTCTTACTCTTGTGGACAGTGTAGGAGTTTTATAGAGAACATGGTTGACTCCATCAAGTCCCCAAATGAATATTGACAAGAAACCATAACTCGTTTTCCTGCATCCCAGCCTCGATTGGAGTTCTGGCCCAACACATTGTAGGGAGGGCAGGATGGAGGAAGGTTCTCAGAACCATGGCTGATTTCTTCTCGAGTCCGAAGTGAGTCAATGCCAAGGCAGGTCGGGCAGCCACAGGACAGATCGAGAAAGACTTACATCCCACAGATTACAACTGACTTCCCTGCCTTCCTTCTTCACCCAAGATTGGTCCGTGACATGCAGGTGGGTGTTTTTGTTTGTTACAGTCATGAACAACCTCATGGTTTCTGCATCCATATCCTTTATGTTGAGCCTGAGAAAATACCGAAGGAGAATTCTGTTAATCCTCCATGCTCTAGTTGGGCTTTGTGGCCTCAAGGACCTTTTTCCCCATAACTCCTTCTTTGGGCATTCTTGGGAGTCTTCGATGTGGACTCTCAGGGAAAAGGAGTCTGTTTTTTAGACTAAAAACTCATTCTGACAGTAGACAGAGTGGTCTCCATTAAGCATTGGATCAAGAGGCAAAAATTCCATTGGAAGAAGAATTTAAATTAATACTAGCCACTAACACTGTGGATCTCAATCGATACTTTGCATACATGTAACATGACATGGTCACCACAAATGATACGATCAATAACTTATTGACTAGGACATGGAGGGTCATAGTTTTTTAATTAAACATGATTACATGCATAGGGGAAATAGTCAATAAGACTGTTAATAGCGATGGTGCTTCCAGGTGGGGACCACACTTTTTGGGGGGATCACTTGGTGATCTGGAAACCCATATAATCTTAAACTGTAATTGAAAAATAAAAACTATGTACGTTTACATGATTCGAAAATGGAGGAGCACTAACTCCAGTGCCATGATCATAGCATTTGATTCAATATCTTTAAAGCGAGGAGGGGGGTTGGAGGCACAATCATTTCCTTGTGCCCTCTCTGTTTGGAAGTTCCTTGAAACATTTAAAATAGAACTACCATATGACCCAGCAAGTCCACTTCTGGATATCTGGGTATATACTTGAAAGAAATTAAATTATATCTTGAAGAGCTATCTGCACCCTCATGTTCATTACAGCATTATTTACAATTGCCAAACATGAAGACAGCCTAAGTAGTGAGGACTATAGTGGACTCGACAATACGTATTGTAGACTTGAAATTTGCTAAGAGAAACCCTCACCCTTAGAATCAGCACGGATGGACCTGTAGAGTATTATGCTAAGTGAAATAAGCAAGGCAGAGGAACACAAATGCCATATGATGTCACTTATATGTGGAATCTAATGAACTGAATAAAATGACAAAATACAATCAGAGGTATGGATACATGGAACAGACTGACAGATCTCAGAGGGGAAGGAAGAGGGGGGACTGGAGAAAGAAGGTGAAGAGATTAGCCAAAGGATTTATATACATCATAGCCATGGTCATAGACAACAGTATGGTGATGGCCAGAGGGAATGGGGGCTGGAGGCTGGAAGGAGGTGGGTAAAGGTAGGGAAAATGGGGACATTTGTAATAGTGTCAAAACAATAATGAACTAAAAAAAATTGCTAAGAGTAGATCTTAAAATTTCTCATACCCGCACCAGTTGTGACTAAGTGATGGGGTGGATATGTTAACTACCTGCATCGTGGTCATTAATTCACAATATATTCATATATCAAGTCATTACACAATGTTACATGCCCATGACACCCAGTAAATCTGGAGGGGAAATAATATGGAACCAACAAAAACCAAAGAAAAAACAAGGCAAGTAGGAAGAGCATGCAAGATATTGTCAGAAGCGTGTAGATGTGTGGACACAATGTTTATAGAAATGGTGGTTCACAACCTCCAAGATGGTTTTCAATGGTCTTCAAGCCCTTGAGTGGAGGTGACACCTGTGATTGGCTCCAAACCAATAGGCCAGTGATGGCGAACCTTTTGAGCTCGGCGTGTCAGCATTTTGAAAAACCCTAACTTAACTCTGTTGCCATGTCACATATAGAAATTTTTTGATATTTGCAACCATAGTAAAACAAAGACATATTTTTGATATTTATTTTATATATTTAAATGCCATTTAATGAAGAAAAACCAACCAAAAATTGAGTTCGGGTGTCACCTCTGACACGCATGTCATAGGTTCGCCATCACTGCAATAGGCAGAAATGAGGTGATGCCATTCTCTTCATGCAACAGTAAGTAAGAGAGTTACTCCTGCCTGGCTAACAAACTCTGCTGCCTTGCAGAATTTTAAATTTTTCTTTCTCAATTCTTACTAAAGGATAATGATTTGAGAGAATGGAAGGGAGAGAGAGAGAGAGAGAGAGAGAGAGAGAGAGAGATCTTTTGCCTCCTGTAGGTGCCTGGACCAGAGATTGAACCCACAACCTAGGCATATGCCCTGAGCGCGGATCAAACCCATAACCCTTTGGTGTATGGGATGATGCTCCAGCCGACTGAGTCACCAGTCAGGGTCCAAGGGTTGGGTCCTAGCTCTAAGGCTTCTTCATATATTTTTTTAAAATATATTTTTGTTGATTTCAGAGAGAAAGGGGGAGACAGAGTGATAGAAACATCAACAATTAGAGAGAACCATTGATCACCTGCCTCCTGTACACCCCCTCCTGAGGATTGAGCTCACAACCCAGGCATGTGCCCTTGACCGGAATAGACCCTGGGACCTTCAGTTCGCAGGCCAATGCTCTATCCACTGAGCCAAACCAGCTAGGGCTACATATATTTTCAATGTCCCTACAGAGAAGACCATTCTGCTCATTTTCTAGGTATCTGACGCTGGTCACAGCATCTGCCATCACCTATACACCCTGGACCTTCTGATCACAGAACTGTCCCAGTCGCCGAGGACAGAGCCTTACTCACCCAACTGTCTGAAGGACACAATCTGGGT